TATTCTTGTAGCTTATTTCGAGAGCTTTCCAAAACACATAGGTAAAATGTATTTTGGTTAAGTAAATCTTGAGTTATGAAGCTTGAAAGTTACAATACCGTCGACATTAGCATTATCCAAAATATCCGAACAATGGCTGAAACCTTTTGAATGTTGTTCAGGATCATAATCTTGACAACATGTGTCAAAGCCATAATCATTGGCAATTGTTTCTCTTATTTTCATTTTTAAAAATTATTTTTATTTTTAAAAAATAAGAGAAGTACAAAAAGTGGAGATAAAAGTAACGGTTTTGAAATGATTTTATTGACACAATTTTAGACATCTAATATTTTGAAATGTATATTTATTTGGCTAAATAAATATCAATTGAAATAAATGATAATTAGAAAGAGCGTGTAACAAAATATATAAAATTAAGATTTTTTTCTCATGTATTTTCTTAATAATACAATTCTACATGAATAAAATAAAAATCTCATAATAACATAAAATTATTATAGAATATTATATTCTAAAATTATACGCTATCGATAAAAATGTTCCATATTTATTTTACTATATATATTTATATTATTTGCGTGTTGAAGGGTCCACAATACAACAAATTTTTGAAGTAGGTGTCGTTATTTTAAAGCCGCCACCATAAAATTTCTTAGTAGATACTAAAATATCTGGAAGACTAGTTTTGCACGTAGATTTCAGGGTTGTCACATTTATTTTTTGAAGCTTCTTTTTTTGCGCATAAAACATTTTTTTTAATTCACTCGTCTCATTGACCATTGTTGCCATATCTTCTTTATATCCGTCTACTTGCGACTCGTACATATTCAGTTCAGCAATAAGGCACTATTGGAAAAACAAACAATTTGCTTATTTATTCTGTTTTTCTCTGTCTTTTTCATAATGTTTTTAAGAATATTATTTTGTAAATACTATTCTAATTGACTATTATTAAGTGTTAATTGTGTAAACCATAATAAATACATCAAATAAGTATACTGTTGCAAAATGCGGTTAATCAGTAAAAAAACTTTATTTCGGTTATGAATACAAAGAATATAATGCAACACGTTGTGACATGCTTGAGTCTAATGGTCTGACTGACAAAAGACAAAAGGAAAAGGAAAAATGAAAATTTAACTTTTTATTAATATCTTCGAAACTATAAAAATATTTATAACACTATTAAATATAAAGTTTTTTATAATCTATAACATGGTTTTTTATGATCTACAACAATAAGATAAAAAAATAAAAAAAAGTATAATTTCTTAAATTTTAGATTTTTTTTAAAGAAGTAATTTTAATATCATTTATCAGTCAAAACAAAAAAGTGATTACTTTATTTCTGTAAAGCTTTAGACATTTTCGGGTTAACTTTTTTATAAGTTTTAATACTTACTTTGATTTTCTCTCCTCTTGTACGTACAATATCTCGAACCTTACTTAAATTTTTCGTTATTTGCAAATTTGGTTGCTTAGACAATACATCACGAAGATTCATATATAATTTCTCAGTATCTTTTAGCTTCCTCTCTTTATCGATTATATCAGTGGACATTTTTAAAATACGTTTTTGCAGAAATTGTACTTTTGTAACGAGCTCGAAAGTCATAGGATCTGTCCCCTGTTTATTAATAAGAAAAAATGTATGTTATGAAATAGAAAATTATAATGACAAAAATTTACTTGATATTGAAGATTATAGTAAAAATATCAAAACTGCAAAAATTAATTATTTAATGTTAAAATGGTTAAAGAAAGAACTTAAGGAGTTATATAATTTGCTGGAATTAAACAATCGATTTTCCGAAAAAATTTTTATTCAAATGTAACATTTTTCGAATTTGAGTGGCAGAGGCTAATTAAACTCGAGAATATCTTCTCATTCAAAACTGTAACCAAACAAAGAGAACTGTGGCACCTGATAAATCAGTTTATTAAAAATCTGAATAGCTGTGCATGCGTAGAAATATTTATAAAACAAATACTCAGAGAAAAAGATAAGGATCTGTATTGCAGCCAATAAATTATAAATGTGATCTGCTGTAGTAATAATCAAGCGTGATAGGTCCAAAATTGTTTTTACATTAAAAATCACATTTATTTTATTCTTTGAACTTTTTATATTCAGACAAATTGACTAGTATCTCAATCTTCACCAATCAATTTATCATTTTGTTGGACATCTCTTTCAATTTGACAAGAAATAATAACATTATCTTTGTAATTACTTCTGCTCATCTCATATACATACAGTGCCCGCCAAAAGTTCCGGGCCACCTAAATAACTTTTGAATGGTTTGTAATATAGGATTGAAATTTATAGGGATACAATGGGATCACAAAGTCTATTATTTAACCACAAAAACACCCTTCTCCACACCTCCGG